ATCTCCTGCCTCGCCCTGGCCAAGATCCACCCAGCCCGCAGATCCCAACGACCGATCATTTACAAGTAGCAAGAATGCTCGGTTCGTAGCCATGCCAGGAGCTACTAGTAGCGATGCCCTTGTTCCGTTCGTAGCTTCCTGTTACGTTCGTAGCGTCCGATCGCGCCGTTCGTAGTACGGCCAGGAGCCCCTAATTAGTAGCATCCGATCGCTCCGTTCGTAGCGATGCCAGGAGCCCCTAATTAGTAGCTTCTTGTTACTAGTAGCTTCTTGCTCCTAGTAGTAAGGCACTTGTTACTAGTAGCGATGCACTTGTTACTAGTAGCTTCTTGTTAGCAAGAAGGCAAAACAACCTTCTTCGATCCCGGCAGGTCTATGCTGGGCGGAGTTTCCGGACACCTGGGTCTTCCGCGGCGATGGCATGCTGCGGATCAATGGTCGCGCCTATCCGCCAGGTCGGTGGCATGCCTGGCAAGATGAACGTATAATAGACGTATAGAGTAAGAAATATGATATATTATGAGTAACATATGCTTTGGAAGGACCCCAAGTAGATCTACTCATAGAGGAATGGAATAGCACTGCGCACTGCACCTCCGCTTTTGACCCTGTCATACTTGTGTTGTTTCTTTTTGCTGTGGGTCATGGTGTTTTTTTTAAACTTGGGATGACTGGACCATCCAACTGAGTGACTCGTGTTGTTTGTGCACGACCACTGGGATCAGCGAAGGGATTGTAAAGCACCACCCGGTCAAAAACACAGTCACAAGACCTCAAAACGAACGTATTCCTTTCGAGTACGTCTCCAACCCAAACTGGTGAGGCGGCATCACCGCCTATACATTGTTGTTTGGGAGAAATGCTCGTGATTTGCTTGGGGGGGTTTGGTTTCACCGCGATTTGAGTTGAGTTCGTGGAGGCTCTATGCCAGGGTCCTCTACGATGATGTCTGGATGGAATACGGCCACGCTGGCGGGGGCCACGCTTGGGTGAATTCAGAGCTGCTTTGGGGGTGAGTTCAGGTGTTCAGGTATACTTGGATTCTCTAGAATGGTCAAAGCGGATTTGTAAGAGATTTGTAAGCACTCCAAATAGTCTTGTTTCTAGAAGCCTTGCGGGCTGGATGCAATCCCAGTACTGGCGATCGTTAGGGGCCAAAGGTCGAGAAGCCAGTTTTGGTTTCACCATTCCAAGCACTTATTTTTTTGTTGGGACAACAAAAGGCCGCTAAGTCATACCAAGCACCAGACATGTGTGGTGGTCATGAAGTCAGGGAAAAAAAGAGAGAGTAAAAAAAACACACATCCAGACCACATGTTACCACTGCGGTCTACCAACAAAAGGCTTTACCCATGTATTTTTTGCGTGATCCGGTCGCACGGTCCGTCTCAGTCCGTCCCAGTGGTCCAATCCGGTCGCAGGAATTTGGCGACACCTGCGGTCTACAAGTGAGGAAGGGCGGGAGCGAGATTGCAGGCTTCAGGACTGGGGGAGAATTGAAAACCGACAAAAACGAACCAAAAAAGCACCAGCCATAGGAGCATAGGCCATACCCAGACACTCCATGTATGAGGCCGGAGTGTATGGGATAGGGTTTCTCAACTGACATTCGGAAGAAGAACCTTGGAAGAGAAACATATATCCCATCTGGGTTTTCGAGGAGAGATGCGCAAGAACTCAATCTGAAATATCCGTACATCTTTGAACTTAATCTGGAACTGGCATGTAAGCCCAGGTTTCCTTGGGGTCACGGTCAGAGTTCCACTACCCCATTTGAATCGAAGCTTGATATGAGTGGTTGATGGTCAAAGGAAAAGGGCATCATATAAGTCCATATGTGGGATCTAGGTAGTCAGATTGGATTTCAACATCTCAGCATCTTGTCGCTAAAAACGAATCCGTGTCCTCCAGTGGCACTTCGTTGGACCAAAGACCTGCTTTGCTTGGTCGAAGTGTTGCAAGCTGCGAATCACTCCTCGTTTCGTTCGCCGGACTCGAGGTAGTTGACTATGTTGACTTGGGTTTACACCATTTTGCTTGGGATGTGTGAGCTCCTCTACAAACACCTTTTTGGCAGTCTTTCTCAGAGCTGGGCCATTGCTCCACTCCCGAAAAGCTCAAAGACTGGACCCTCAAAGACTGGTCATTCCTCCACGGTGTCGCCACGTGTTTTCCGTTCTGGGTCGCCACGTGGCCGAAACCGAAAACGCCGGTCCAGTCCAGGGCATTTTTTGTCCGGTTGGAGACGGTGTTCGGGCGGATTTGGGGTACAGGTCACCCTTCTTGCCAACTCCCCAGAGTCTATCTTTGTTTGCAGAAGCTAGGGGAGTGTATACATGTGTATACAAGAAGCTGCTTGGGTGGAACTGCCAGTGCATCCACTACCTCTCGTGGCTAAGGTGTGACAGTGTGATGGGTTCTGGAATGATGTGGCGAAGTAAGGCTATCTACCAGGAGTCACAGAGCTCGGGGTGCTGAATTCTGGGAGTCACAGAGCTCGGGGTGTCCAAAGCATCCACTCACTGGATGTCACTAAGAACCACTCAACTCCATGTGACTCGATTTTTTCGTAAACTGATGCCACCGACTGCGTCGCTGTGACCGACGGGGGATTTGCAAAAGGAATGGCGAAGAAGTGGGGTGCATCAAGCTGGATGAAATCATCCATGTGGGGCCCTCAGCACGATCATCCATCTGTGCGCGAACTCGTTCGTGAAAACGACGGTGCCGACCACTGCGACTGGTGACCTCGGTCACACCGTACGGAAACGAACGCCCAAAGCCGAAAGAACCGTTGGTAACGAACGCCCAACCCGAACGGCGTGCGCCCGTTGATGCATCGGGCCCCGAACGAAAGCCGCCGAACATGTGAAGAAAAAGGTACCTTTGCTTGCGGCAGAAACTGAGGAGGTCATTTATAAAGCCTCATGCAAATGATTCACCACGATCTGTGACGCTTAAATTGTTGAGGTCTCCAAAGTCATTTCTCTTCTCACCCTGTGTCTCCAGGTCTCCTTTTTCCGCTCACTGCACCCGCTGAACTACTCGCCCCTCACGACGTACTTCTGTCTGCAGGTACCCATGGACCAAGATGTCTACCTCATCGCCGACATCATTGGCCGCGCCGGCGAAGTGGAAATTCTGGACGTTGAGGTGCCGGACGCCGAGCCGCCCGCGGTCTCGGCGGCCGCCGCGGTCTCGGCGGCAGCCCCGGAGGACGGGTGGAACGTCTTCCGGGAGATCATGCAACGGCGGCCGCCCATGTATCGTTGAGAGGGAAGAAAGAAGGACAATCTGGAGCAGATTGTGACTCAAAAGAAGCAGGTGTTTTTGGGTTATTTTTTGTTTTGATTTTTTTGTTTAACTTTCTTTTGTTATCCGACGGTTGAAGCCTTCAAAAGTGGCTCCCAAATGGTTGTTTTGACCCTGACAATCCTCAAGATGCTGCAAGTTTGGGGTTCAGATCGCAACATGGGCTGGCGTGGTGACTAGGCTGGTGCCCATGCTTCGACACTTAAGGAGTGAAAGGCTAGTGAGATAGCATTGAGTCCCAACAATCCCTGGTAGTGGATCTGATTCAGAAATTTGCAATGTTCAACAATAATTTCTACCAGAATGAAATCACGAGTCTACCAGAACCTTCCAAGAGATGTTTCCCACAAAGACCGCCCAGTGCAGGGTCCTGCTGTTGTCTCTTCCGGGTCCCAAGGGCTTTCTCTAGTCTATGTGAGTTCACACGAAAAGCATGGGCACCAGATCCAAGAAAGCAGACCGTGCCATCATGCGTGCGTGCGGATGCTGTGGATGATCTGCGTTGGGTGAGAGAAGTAGGGTATGCAGGTGCGATTGGATGAGGGCCTTGGACCTTGTGGCGTGCTGGGTATAGTATTGGCCATGCTGTGGTGCACGTTTCTTTCGAAGGACAGATAGTGATGATCTTTCAAGAGTTGCACACATGCAGTAGCCCTTGACGTTTACAGATACTGTTGATTACCCAACAAAGCTTGCCATACTCTTCTGACCCGGCTGATCATCCCATATATGTCGGAGATTTGGCTGGCAAAGCCAAGAGAACAGCAGCTGGCCAGGCTCAGTTTCAGGTCTGAAACTTGCCAAGTCGAGTCGACCGGGATTCAACACTGTCAGCCCACTAGTCATACTTCCGCACCTATTTTGGGCATTTCCAGAAAGTCAGACACTCGGAAGATGCCCCCCCCGCATTGAGCATTTAGACCAGACCAATCCAACGTTTGGCGCATGTTCCAGTGTTTGGTGCTGACTTCATGGGAAGTTTCTTTTTGAGGATCCTATGGAAAAATAGGATCAGACCAATCAGACCTGTTTTTGCGTTATAAAAGTCACCTTTGGGGTATCCGAAAGGCAGGTTTCTGCACCTTTGCGCGGTGATGTGAGTCCAAAGTCCAAACAACGCAAACAACAGAATCATGCTCTCTAAGACATACTTTTGTGGTTGCTTGTCCCTCGTTGTTTCTGAATTTATGAGGGATTGATTTCGGCCGTGAAGCCCTCGAAATCAGAAAGAAACCAACATGCACCAACATAAACCAACAATATTGGGTTGAACATTCATGTTGAACATCATGGTTGTATGTCCCACTTGGGGACAGAATTTGGACTCACATCTATTGGCTAATGCGAGATTGGCCCACCTCACCGGGCACAAGAACTCATCTCACAGACATGCGAAAAGAAGGACCATGCGTCGGACACTTGCATCACCCAGAAAAGGGAGCACCCACCGTTTTTACAGCCAGTTTTTGGGGCTCCAGTCCTTGCAATCGACTTCGGACACCGGATTGGGAGACTGGTCCATCGGTTGGACAGGTGGACCATGGTGGACCAGTACGTACGGAAGAATCCTAAGATTTTGTCCCCAGACGTGCAACCAATGGGACTGCTGACCGATCAGTTGTTTGTGCTTCAAAAGGCGTGATGAGCACATCTGGGACTGCTGACCGCGCGACAGACCGCACTGTGAGGTCCCACGCGGACCAGTGAGACGCTCTTTTGCGCGGCAGGGGCCCAGATCGGAGCAAGAGATGGTGTGAATCGTTGCGTGTGTGTTTTTGTTGTATTGATTTGGTTTGGTGTTTGGAACTAATTACAAAAGATTGTGGTCGGGCTTGGGTTCGTTGTACTATATATCTCACTTTGAGCTTTGGAAAATTTAAGTTTTGCTGGCAGGACGCAGGGAGTATACTATGTGTTTGAACTGACCCGTGCGTAGAGGTTGCCTACTTTCAAGAACTTGAGGGTGCTCAACGCAGTGATATGAAGCAAGATTGTGTTTTTACCAAATTTGGTTATGCTAAGCAAAACCATGCAATCCTGTTGCTCATGGCTTTTGGCTCCTGGAAGCAAGCGGAAACTTTCACTGATTGTTGTGTTTTCATTGGCTTGGGAGAACTGGGGACTCTCCCAACATCTCCCAACAGTTTATAGTAATATCTTCTGAATCATGATTTGTGAGTCATTCTTCTCATTCCCTTGGCATAGAGTGATTGTTTGTCTCCACGAGTTTGGAGGATTTTGGGGGGGATGTCCCAACAAAAGGATTCGGCCCTTTTCATTTGGCCAACGCTCGACTGTCCAATAGTGTCTTTTTCCCCCAACTGTAAAACCGATCGATGAACACGTCAGAGAACCCAGAGCTGCACCTGAAAAGAGGCCGCCACCAGGGTGAGGTTTTCTGATTTGAAGGGTTTCCAACAGGTGGAAACTCTTGCAGATGCTACTTGCGTGTCTCCAACATCCAGTTCTGATGTGTGCACCTCAAGATATCTCAATACAATGTTGTTCCTTAAATTGCATATAACTTGTATATACCGCGAACCTCGGACAGTCGCCGACACGAAGGGCTCAGCAGAGCCGCCCTCGCTCCATACAACTTCTTAAACCCCCCAAAAACGACCTGTCCTGGGGAGGACCTGTCCCAGATCCACCTAAACTCCGTCAGGTTGACCTGGTCTTGTGCTGATCACCGGATCCACCCGGTCCTTCCCCGACCTCAGGCGGCGGACGAGGAGCTGGCAGCCTTCACCAGGTGGGGTCACGTCGTCGTTTTGGTTCTGTACGCCCAAGGCAAGGGCCTGTCTGTAATAACTAGATCATGCGCATCTAATAATCACAAAAAAAAAACATACAAAACCATCCAAAGGTAGGTCTTTGCGCCACCTACAGTAGTGCGCCGCATAGATGTTTGGGGAAGAATGTGGAAAGAGTTTCAAGGTTGGGGTGTTTTTTTCAGGCACCCAGAAGAAATGTTAGGCAAAGGCGAACAGTTGCGCAAGGTGGATCCTGATCATGGGGGTCCGGGTGCATATGGTACCTGGATGTTTCACGCAGTTCAAGCTACATCGAGGGTCGAAACCGTTGGAAGAAGCGGGACACTGCCAACCCGGTGGACACCGCCCCGCTGCTTCACCAGCGCCCCAGCTCGACTGCGGCGCCATATATTTGATTGACCTGTGGGCACGATGGACATGGAGCAGGTGCAGTTGAAGGCTTGGCCTTGGCATTTCGACTTCTGGAAGCGAAGACGCCATACAAGGAGGGAACAAGCCTCACACGCCAGCTGGTGCCACCCTTGCACTAGTCCAGGACGTGGACCTCTGTCTGGTCATGACATACGAAGCTCGTAGCTGTTCAATCAGTCGTTGGTTGTTCCGAGACGTGCTCCGATTCGAACCACTGCACTGAAGGGCCGGAGGGTGCAAGGATGGATGCCAGGACGTGCGGACCAGCCACGGATGGTTTCTGGTGAAACGGGGCGGTTCGGAGTTCAGCGCGTTCGGAGGAACTCACAGGTGATGGTCAATTTCAAAGCGTTCCTGAGTCATAAAGGATTGAAGTGCAGCTACAGTGTTGAACAGATTTTGTTGAATGTCCAGGCCAGTGCCCCAAGAATGGCAGAGGTGGTGCAGTCTTTGTTCTCAAACACATTCTCCGACAGGAGGTCATTGTTGCGCCATCTCAGGACTCAGGACAAACTCCTTGCTTGCTGTAAACCAGGGTCGCCAGCACTGAGTACACCATGCACACATGCTAGTTGTCATTCAACAAGACTCAAGACCAGTGAATATTCTAGTCAGGTCTTGCGATGTGGGACACACCAAGCGTGTGTCACTTGCCCCAAGCTTCCTCATGTTTGTGTGCTTGATGTCTCTGCTCCAGACCACAGCACCGCCGCTTTCGATGCCTCGGACCCGTCGTCCGCAGGCCGCGGGACGCGTTGGAGGCGGTGGAAGGCCTCAGCCGCTGGCGCTTGAGGGACTTCCACTGCCATCGCAGCACCGCGCTGCCGGGGAAGCTTAGAACATCGAGGTTTGAGGTTGGCCGGTGTGGGCGAGTTTGCGCAGAGGTTTCATTTCCCAAACACTGTGGACATACTAGTGGGGGGTTCTTCTACGGTAAGGGGATTAAGGACGGGTGTTTGATCGGAGGTGTTCACTCCGTGTGTCCGGCTAATTCGCTGCGATTTACGGTGCATTGGTTCACCTCGAAATCTTCGAAGCGCCTTGGCAGGGCTTCGCCAAGTGAATCTTAATGTGCAGATTTCGTGGCGAGCACAGCGCTTTGTTGACCTTGAAGTGCAACTCTCGTGGCAGGCGCAGCACTTTGTAGTTAGAGCTTGAAGTGCAAATCTCGTGGCAGGCGCAGCACTTTTGAAGTGCAGACTTCGTGGCAGGTGCCGCACTTTTTGAACCTCAACGTGCGGACATTTTTAGGCAGGTGCAGCACCTTGCGGACTTTGCGCAGGCGTGCACTGAACGCAGAAGTGCGGATTTTGAGGCACGTGCAGGGCTTTGTGATCCTTGAAGTGCGGACTTCGCGGCAAGCGACGCACTTTGTGAACATGGAATTACGGATGTCATGGCAGGTGCAGCTTGTTGTGAACCTTGAAGCGCGGACTCCGTGGCAGGTGTGCAGATTTCGTGGCAAGCACAGCGCTTTGTGAACGTGGAAGGGCAGATTTCGTGGCACGGCTACTGTATCAAGAGGTTGGGTAGCAGATGTGGATCTTGGATGATCTTGATGCAGGCAGAAAGCCGGGGAAGAGCCGGCAGCTATGTTCGGCTTGGAGCAACCAAGAGCAAGGATGGACAGCGGTTTGGATGCTCTGAACTTGTCACACTGAGGCTGAAGTTGAGCGAGCGTGCCAGTCTTTTGAGCTTGCACGACACCTTGTCGGCCCTTTTGGTGCTGGCCCCACGCGGACATCTGTTGATTGGAACAAGAGGTTGGAGTTAGTGGCGCGGACGTTTCAACACCACAAGGTGTCCGGCCTGCAGAACGGTGCTGAAAGCTACACTGTGCAATGACTACTTTGGACCTGTTCTGTGTGGCAGGCCAAGCTCAAAGGGGTACACCTCTGGAGAAGAAACCCAATCCTTTGATTCGAACTATCATCACAAAAAACATATGGATTCTGCAAACCCTGTGATGTTGCATGAGGTTTCTGCATCGCGCTGGTTCAAAGGAGGATCCCATTGACAGTGCCGAGCGGCACTGTTGAATTACAAGGGTGTGTGCTCCAAGCGTGGCTGCTGGTTGTTGAGACCACGCATGGCGAAGAACTGGCTTCAAGTCAGGCCACACTTTGGACGTAACAGAGGCACCGGCAACCGCGCTGCCCGGACCAGATGAGAACGGGCACCTTGCTCGCATGGTTGCATGGAGTTTTGCCTGGCCAGCAATAGTGCAGATCTCGCAGCAGGCGCAACATTTTGTGAATGTGGAAGTGCTGATTTCGTGGCAACGGCAACACTTTGTGAACCTCGACTTGTATCAGTTTGTGAACCAGGAAGTGCAGATTTTGTGGCCGATGCAGCACTTTGCGAATGTCGACGTGCTGATTTCGTGGCAAACGCAGCACAATTTGTGAACCGCAAAGTGCAGATCTCCTGGCAGGTGCAGCGCTTTGTGAACTTGGGAACACAGCATGTTGTGAACTTGGAAGTGCAGATTTGGTGGCAAGCGCAGCAAATGTGCTTCTAGATCTCCAAACGCCGATGGTTGGTTGAGGTGTTCGATTTGTAGCCCACACTAGCAGGCCCAGGGAAAGCCTTTGGCCGGTGTGTTTTTGGGCCCATACCAGAACCCAGGATGGTTTCACCATTTTCGTGGCTGGCCGCCAGCTGGCCCTTGAGAATTTCATCCCAGAACCTAAATACATGTAAGAGTGAGCACCCTTGATTGTGGAATCTGACAAATTACCCCCCTGACAAAGCTAACGGTTTGTCACCCATCTGAAGCCACGCTGATGCAGGGTCACCCAAGAGGACGATTGAGAAAGTTCACCATCCTTACAGGCTTTGGGTGGGTGGAGGGCATGCCAGTTCCTTCTGAGGAGCTTTCAGCTGGTTGGAAAGCACTCCGAAGAACTGTGGCATTTCACGTGTCAGGCACTGATCCGCCGATCTCTGGGGGTGTTTGGCAGGGTCTCAATTCGGTTGTCTCCTTGTTCAAGTTATCAAACACCTCTACTGTACATTAGTGTTTCAGGTCCATACTGTACCTTATTGTTTCCGGTAAACCTGATTGTCGCGCAAATGTTGAGCCTGCCTTCGGGGTAGACGAGAGCCTTTTGGATGGATGACAAAAGAAAGACCAGCTGAGGACACTGGCGGTGGAACGACCGAATGCCCTTTCAAGCAGACTATAGGCAAATAATTTGTTTCAACTTGCTTAGGCCGTGGTAGATTCTGTTGGTGATGTTTGGTTTTGATATGGCTTTGACGCTTGTGTTGATCTCTACTTAACTTGCTTCCTCCAGGAACCTCAGAGGATGTCAGAAGTTAAGACTCTTAAAAACATATTACAGTATCCTTTCACACATGTCTGTCACAAATGCCACATTGCTGTGCCTCATTGCAACAGATTATCAACAAATTTGAATCCAGATGTTACTCAACGCACCGTGTTGTCCTTATTTGGCGCATCTCAGGTATTTTGTTTTGCAGCAATGCGCCTTTAAAGCTGTTTGCAACCAACATGCCGAAGTTTCATTCATCTATATGTACAGCTGTGACCTTGGCAAGCTTACAACCCGCTACATTGTTTGGAGCTTTCTTGACGTTTTGTTTTCAGCTCACCTCACCACCTGATTGGCCCTGCCTCGTTTCTATAGGAGGAGATGATTAGATGGTTGGCGGCCACTTCGGGCCTATTGAACAGGAAATGCGAACTGGACATGGGACGACAGGAAAATGCGGCCCGCGGCCTGGAAACGTCCTGCCTTGTCAACCTGCCTGAGCAAGAGTGCGGCAGGGAAAGGCCTGGGCCTGGTGGCCAGCTCGTGACAAACTCGCCTGGACAGCGCAGTTGTACACGGTCTTGAAGAGCAACAGGAGGATCACAATCTTGTTGACAACAAGGCTTCTCTTGAGGCCGCAGAGGAGGTCACCTACGTGAGTTCCATAGGCCCCGCAGCGCCACTGCGCTTTCTGCGAAGAATGCAAGTTCAAGTTACAAAATGACAGCATTTCACAGGGCATGCCAGCATCAGATTTTGCGGCTTTTACTGGACTTCTGCTCGAACAGGAAGGTCTAGGATGGTCTATGCTTCACTTCTTGGAATTCCTGTGGATGTTGTTGCTTCCTTCTCCATTGCCTTTCTTCCAATTTCGTCCATTGATTTGAACCCTTTCTTGCCTCCCCGGCCTCCGCCGCCGCGCCGCGACCTCCCCGGCCTCCAACCAACACTCCGTCCCGTGCCGGCGAGGACATCACCGATGCGCAGCGGTGGTTCGACTACTTCACCGAGCCGGAGAACCCCGAGCCCGACGAGGTGCTCTTCGAGACCCTGCGCGTTCGCGCGTGGGCCGGGCTGGGGGGCGGTGCGAGGGAGGCGTTGAACCGAGCTGAGGGAGGCGGAGGCGTCGCCACGGATGCAAGAGGGGAGGGATGGAGGTGAAGCAATCACTAAATATGTTGAGGGCTGTCATGTTTGCTGAGCGCGCTATATACATGTTACATCATGTTACCGAATTCATGTCATTTCGCAGAGCTCGGGGCTCTTCAAGTGTCTCACCATAGCTCGGGACTGGCGGGCATGCCTTAGCCTCGCCACCATGTGCCCACCTGGCTCCAGGTGCCACGCCTGTCTCCCAGCGACAGCTGCATGTCGCTGGGCATCGACTCCGGAAGCCTCAAGGAGGTGCCAAACGGCGTGTTCTCGATCTCCGGAGCGGCGTTGTTCTATTCGTGTGCACAATGTGCAAAACGCGTCGATGGGATTTGCAGCACATCCGCATCATGGCCCGATGGATTTTCGCTTCAAATGGGCTGCCAAGTGGGGCGGGCAAACACTCGACTCGTTGGGTCATGCACGTGTTCTTAGTTGGAGGAACATGAGTTTCTTCACAGTGCGGTTGCCTTTCATGGTTTGGAGACTCGTCAAACTTAACTTGGACATCAAATGTAAGTCATGCATACCAAAATGATAGACTACAACTATCCAATAGACGTACAGTATACAGGTTGCAAAACGACATGAAGTATCTCACCAGCCCCCGAGATTCCACCCAACGAACGCCAAAAACAACACCTAACTTGGATGTATCCGCACCTCCCTAAGGATCTTGACCTGGTAGTTATACCGGGTACCTTTGCTGGTGGCCATCACCGGAAGATGACGGTGTTCGCCCGTGCTCGTCGTGGCGGGAGGCCTTCGATCCAGAACCGGGTCTTTTGCGCGAGGCCAGGCGTTTGCCCGTCGAGGAGGTTGGTTTGGCCGGCCGTGGCTCTCTTCGGCGCCACGAGATTTGGGTTGTTTTCTTTAGTCTTTCTGGAAGAGTTGGCAGAATATTGGAGAACTGGCATTCGAAGCAAGCACCCCAGATAGGACTGGCGTAGATGTGGGAAGTGAGAGGCAATGGGAAGGAGATTCCAGTCCACGAAATGCGGGGGAAAGGAGGTGTCAGAAAGGATTCCTGGTTGAGAATGGGATATGATATGACTCGACATGACCCTTAATAGGTAACTTGGGATGGTCCAGACAGGTTCTCTTTGTCCACTCATGTTCTTTGAAGTGTTGGGCTTCAGTCTGTCACTCTTCTAGCTCTCAGCAGTGACTCAGGGTGAGAAATAATGGTCGAGAACACAGTTTTTTCAGCAGATTTGCAGGTTGTGTTGCTCATTGGGTTGGCACATGTTGTTTCAAGTTGTTGTTTGCTAGGACAAACTGTCAAGAGTTCGTTGATTAATGATCAGAATCAGCCAGTCTGAAGCAGACTCTCGCCCGTGAGATGTTCAATGTGTTTGTTTCTTAGACCCTCATGATTCTGATGCAAATATATATATATATAGATAGACAGATAGATAGATAGATAGGTAGATAGGTAGATAGATAGATAGATTATAGATAGGTGGACAGGTAGATAGATAGATAGATAGAGAGAGAGAGAGAGATGCTGAGGTTTCCAGCTCTAGTTGCCATTTTGCTGCAATTTGCGGCCTTTTGAGGTCAAGGACCGGCCAAAAATTAGCCCCCTGATGGTCTGTTTTTTATTGTTGGATCTCGATTAGTAAAGGGTCCCTCTATAATGCGAATGTTTTCCAAATTTATTTAGACCCCCCTGTTTGAAGAGTGGGTCCTGAATAATGCTAACTTTTTTTTGGACCCTAAATTTTTAAATTGGAAACCTAATTAGTAAGGGTTTGAATTCCTTCTGAGGCCATTGATTATGATTCATTAGCTGATATAGCTTTCTCTAGGTTTCTTCAAAACTGACAGCTGACCAAAACCACCAGTTCCCCAATTAAACCCTTCATAAAACATTGCTCCTAAACAAATGTTCAAGGTAGTAGACCAGGAAGGCACCTGATCCTCAATAATAAATTTGTTTTTGGGTCCTCAATTGTGAAAAGTTTTTTTTCCACTGGACAAAATTGCTCATGGAATCTTCCTTTACTTAGGAAGCCATGGAAGCTGAGGAAGAAGCTGAAAGCTTGGGGCTTCTCTTGAGCTGAAGATCTGAGGCTGCAAAGCAAAAGGATCTCTGAGAACTGAGAACAATTACAAAAGGAAGCTGAATACAATCTATGAAAGGAAAACGAATACTACAATCAATTACAAGAAGGAATTCTCACAGGAATCCAAATTTGTTTTGGTGATAGTTTATTATAGAAGACTCCCTGTTTGTTTGAGGGGAGGGGGGGGGCCCTTTACTAATCAGGATCCAACATTAATCATTACAACCATGCGTTTTCTCACCAGCTTGTCGTACCATCCTCATGTCCAATGTTTTGGTTTGTTGCCACCCTCTCCTCCGCGATCCGCGGGTGAGCATGCTCAATGGTACCTCCCATGCGGCCCTCTGCTTCGTCCGTGGCGGTTCACATCCGCGTGCGATCCCAGGCGACCCGCCCGATCGCCGAAGAGCTGGGGGGCACAGCTGGCGCGGCTCGTGCGGAAGCTTCGGCAGGGGTTGGGACGAGTATAGGCCTTGAAGGAGGCCTGGGGGGGCTGAAACTGGTGGGTGCTTTCAGAGGCGTTCAGAGGTCTTATGATATGTTGACGTTCAACCGTTATTTGGGCTGATTCAACCCACTGACCAAAAAAACTATATATATAACTATTAAATTATATGTATATATATCTATATATCATATGTTTTATCCTTTAAGTGAGTTGAAGCCACCCACAAGGTTAAGATGTCCGCCGTTGTCCGTTCTTTTATTTTGTCACATTTCTTACGGGATGAGAGAATGCAGGACGCTGCGTGGATCAATCGCTCGGTGGTACCTGGGCAGTCGACCGGGGTACCTGGGTTTTCCACACCTTCAAACCAACAGAATGGTCGTCTTTTTCAGGTGAGTCAACCTCAGAGGGTTTAGGGCTACATTCATGTAGCTGCTATGTTTCCGTGATGAACCACTTCCGCCTTCACTCCGTCATCACTTAAGTTTGTGGCTTGCTGCCCTGGGACCTGTGCGGGTCTATACCAGCACCTTCATTACGGGGTCACCTGGTTGGAAGCCACCACTAAGGGACCTCCAGACAGGACACCCCTTGAAGGTCCAGGTACGTTGTACAGTTGTAATCCTTCATAATCCTTACTGGCGGACACGGGGACTTCAACATGTAAGCTGGAGCTTCCACCGACCACAAATGTGTTTGGTACTTTGAGGATGTTCGAGGTCATTCTGCATCAGTATTCCAGCAAACCATAAAGAGTTTTTTCCAATTTCTCCGCAGCTTACTGTTCGATGCCCCCACCGAGCTTCCTTTTACGTGCGTGTGTGTGTGTGTGTGTGCGTGCGCTGATGGAGACCACCGCCTCCTCAGGCCCAGCTCGGATGAAGAGACCACCGCCACCTGCAGCCCGCGGGAGACGCGTCCGGCCACCCGAAGTACTCAGCGACGGAAGAATGTCCCGCCCTTCCTCAGGAAGATGTTGATGTCGAATATAGAAACCAGGTGTCGGCCAGTGGAAAACCAGCTGTCAGCCAGTGTTCTAAGATTGCATGTTAACCATTGCCCATTGCATGTTAACAAGGCTCAGGATGAAATTGCTGTATGTAACCTGGAGAGGAAGAAGGTGATGGGCGCCTTGAACCCCAATAATGCGTGGGCCATGGGATCAAAACTGTTCTGCTCTTCTCGAATCCTATTCTGTTGATGGCTCTGTTTGTCGACAGCTCACTGGCTCACTAGGGGATTGCACGCTCATGGCCGCAGCAGTTTGCTTGCTTCCACCCCCCGTATTTCTTTCAGCACATGTCAGTTCAAAGTCCAGAAGGTGTCACTCAATAGTGTATCGATCAAGCCCTAACATCAAGGCTTTCAGGCCCATGTAAGTCTACACCCACCTACATCAACGTCCCCTTGCCTTATCCACTGACCATGCTGTTTCCAAACGGACACCATCCCAATCAACTATACGGTACGTGAACCACCTACTGTAAGTACCCAGTTAAACTATGTCTACACCAACATCTGCAGTAGTTGACCTCTGTTTTGATATGAGAAGACCATATTGATATTCTAGATGGTTTATGGTCTAAAATAGAGGTCACTCGTGCAGGTATATACATCGTATATACCATATCATACAACTATTCTATACCCCCCCTTCTGTTTGTTTTACATCTCATTCTTTGAGACACTTCCATCGTCGTCTCCAGCCTACCGAGCTTCCCACCAGGCGTGGAGACGTTGGCGCAGTTGGAGCTCCGCTTGGCGCGGCACGTGAATCGCCTTGAGCAGGTCGGACCTGTGTTGTTGGGTGGCCAAGAGGGACCTCGGTTGGTAGAAGTACAAGCTTGGCTGGGCTGGTAGGTTGGTCAAACATTGGAAACCCATGGAAACCCTAATTTAATTTGGCGGGTCACTGCATTTCACTGCCCTAGTCTCAATGCTGGACATGAACACCACCCAGTTACTTGTGCTGATTTGAATCACACGTTGGTGAACCCACTCTCCATGGACACACCGTGTTCATCCATGTTTGGTTTCATGGGGGTCTTTTTGGGCATGCAAGCTAGCTCCTGTGCTCCACTTTTGATCTGTTTGCGACTCGCCTCCCTCGTTGCGCCTCGCCTCCCATGGAGGCCATGCGGGCAGCGGAGGCGGATTGCCGCGAGCTGCTGCGGTTCTTCGGTTTGGAGGAGAGCAGGCGTGCCCCCCGCCACACACGCGGCAAGAGCACGCGGCAAACACGCGCGCTGGCGCGACGCGCGTTGACCCGCGCAGAGTGTGGGATGACACGGTGGTGCATCGGAAGGTGTGCCATGGACGTCACCTATAGAGGTGTGCCCATGAAACTGGCGATAGCCTGCCTCGTGGATGGATGGGATGCTTGAGTCGCAGGATGGATGGGATGCTTGGTTGGACCATGATCCTTTTCAAGTGGATCCTATCGACATACTGGAGATACTCCACTTCGGAGTTGGAGTTGCAACCGAAAGAAAGTGGTTGTTGTGTTTGGCTTTGCTGGGGAACATGGGGAAAACACGCGCGGGCAAGTGGAATAGACCAGTGACCATTGATTGCGGTGTGCCTCCCCGATGTTGACCCCGCAGAGATGCCGAACAAGATCGATACATTCGGCAACCGGTGCTTCCGAGCCAGTCGAGTCAGTGGCGATTCTTTTTCTGACACTGTGGATGCTTTTCGTGAATTCTCATTTAAACATTGGGCATCTCCCTATATATATATATATATATATATAGCAACAGGTGCTTCCGTTGCAGGGCCTTCTGCCAACACGGGGTTCTTCCTACAACTGGCCCTTCCTACAGGTCGGGCGCTCCGATGGCCAGGCCGGGCGCTGCGTCCTTGATGGAGTCCCTCAACGACTTTTGCGGCCAGGCAGTGGGTGGACTCGAGAGTCCGTGGCGTGGGACTGACTCGTTGGCACGGTCCGGGACTGACTCGGGACTGAAGGCTCGGGGTGCTGTTTTTGTGGTGTTTTTTCACACGAACCTGGGATGTTTGTCATAGAGTTGATTTGTACATATTTTTTACCTGGAACCTGGTTTGGACACCTGTTGTGGACCACCAACCACCCCCAAGATATGGCATTTGTCCTATCAAAACAGAGGTCAAATGGGTTCCAGGTATACGTAGATATTATAGGTCTACAGCTTTTTTATGTGTATTTGTTTTGTGTTGTTGCCCATGCTTCAGCAGGTTTGTTCATAATTGTTGATATTATTTTGCCAGCATAATTCAGTCACAAACAGCTACAATGTTACAATGCCAATCGATCAAGCTGCTGAACATGAAAAAGTGGCCAGAAGAAAAAGGAGGAGTTAATGGGTAGTGACTCAAGCTTATCTACCATGCTGGTCAATACCTCTAGAATCTCTAGAAAGCCCTGTCCCACTCAGACTGGTCGCAACTTCACCAGTTGCTTCGAAATCGCAGATTGATCAGCGATTTGTGTGAATGGGTGAACTACATTGTGGCCCAAGTCGCGTGATCTGCAGATCTTCACCTGCTTTGTTGCGTGTGTTGGTTTTGCTTGATCTTGATGTGAAGCGAATGACAGCCCATACGATGGTGCGTTTGTTCTTTTGTTGATTATGAGGCTCTTGGAAAGAATTAGAATACTGGACAGTCAGAGAGCAAGCAGAAAACGGTCGCAATTGAAAAAAAACAACAACATGCGCGTTTCTTATATCTCAATTTGCACATGGACAAACTGACTACAGCCTTCTTCAAACATCTTCAAATATGACATTGGACATAGGACGTTGTCTTCTGGTTGGACGTCCAATCAAAGGATTCTCTCTATCCGGATCTCTCGCCCGTATACCGTGCTTCGCCCCGGCTCCCCCGGCTCCGCAGCAGCTCCAGGTTCGCAGTGCCTGGGATGATCTTGAGCATCTTGGAGAGAAGAGGTCTCTGACTGGATGGTTCCAAGGTAGGAGGGTTTGAGAGGTTCCATTTTCCATCTCTCCAAATTCGTTGACGGGGGCAGGTTAGGTTTGGGTCCGTTCAGAGGTTTTTAATTCTTGATGTGTTTTTTTGGAGATGTGCCCCTACAAAAAACGCAGGGTTTCTATAAGGCTCCAAAAGAGTGCTCAGTCTTCAACTTCATTGGTGACCAGCAACTGGATCTCGCGGACGTGCCTTTCTCCACGGACGTGGAGAAAGGGACTTGCTTCGTACATTTCACAAAAAGGCCGTTCATGTCATGTGTATATAAAAAAAAGTGCTATTGGATTTGAGTTCCAAAGACAAACAATACAGTGGTTTCAGAGTAGATGGCACGATCCTCTAAAGGTATCTACAAAGGTTGTTTATGTGGAACCCTTTCCTAAAAGACATCTTGGGGTGCCAGTGCCATTTACTCTGAAACCACTGTGTATTTGTATCTACCGGCTCAGATCCAACCCATTTTGGGCCCTCACTCCACACCACACACCCCGGCAGTGGCACGGTATTGGGAGATTCAGATAGAAGAAAATCGCCAGAAGCTGCATGAGATAGCTGGAGGAGACAAACTTCTCAATGAACAGTTCTATCTCAGGCCTTTCATCCAATCATGGGGGGCTACTGACCCTCGGAAAGCGCGTTCGGCTCGCTCTTCGCCCAGGAAGGCTCAGGCGAAGATACGCCAAACGCCCCGCAAGACGCCGCGCGCCGGACTCGGCGGGCGGCCGAGTGTTGGGCCCTGTCGCGAGTCGGCCCAGTCTGCGGTGGCGCGCGCACGCACCGAGCCAGTCTCGAGAGCCATGAAGGCCGGGGGTCGCGGGGAAGGGAAATTGTGGGGTTGAACCAAATCTGTACGGATGATAGTTATTAGTTGTGCAGCGTACAGTGGTAGGAGACCAGCAGGTCTTTTGAGATATGGGTCTGTTCAGGGGCCCAGGGTCTTATTCTGGTTCTCAAAAGGTTCGGGAGATCCTTAGATGTGCTCTCTTTTTGCAGGTTACAGGCTCCCTTTACTTTACAATATATATATATATATATTATATATAAACACATGGAAGCTTCTCTCTCCAGGGCTCTCCAGGCTGCCAGCCGGATTAAGACTCCAAGGCCAAAGACTCGGTGAGACACCGACGACTCGGATCTCGCTCCGAAGGTCCGATGAATAAAAGCCTTTCCATTGTTGCAGTCGAGTCCTTGCCGTTGTTGCTCACCTGAATGAAGATCCAGTGGACCAGGGTCACTGGGTGACCGGTCCAAACCAGGTCCACCGGGGAGGAGCACTGCCAGCTCATCTCACCCTCTGGCTTCCAGGATGATACCCTTCAGCAATGGCATCGCATTTGGTCCTTACGCTCCGAGGGCTCGACCGGGTGAAGTGGTGAGGACCGGCGGTTTCTCACGACGCACGGCGCGGGTTTCGGGCAGACCCATGGGAGTTGCGACGATGGTAGACCCATGGGATAAGAGGCCGATGGGGTGAGAACCACCCGCGGTGTTGAATCATTCTGAATGAGAACAACGAGTGTCTAATTAGGGCACTGGGTAGGGAATGTAAGTAGAATATTGAATATGATATGCATGGGGAGTATTGAATAATATGATATTGTTACATCATGCCCACCTACATTACCATTACATTAAACCTGATCCACCAGAAGATGGGACCCCATGGATCATCATGGATCACTTATAATGACTATAGATGCCTGGTTTGCTGCCCCATTTTGTAGGGGTCCGCGGGAGCAATCCCCGCTATAGATTCCTCAGGATCCCTCATTTCATTCCACATCATCCCTTACTTGTTGTGTTTGAAGGGTCCACATCCTAGCTCATCTCCTTAACTGCATGGGTGGGGTAGTGGTCATTCCCAACTTGTTGGATCAACTTCACAAGGAATCTTTTGGTCAACCATGGTGAATGAATTGGTCCACCACGGTGTGGCTCGGTGGATTTATTTATTCACATGACCCGCTTTGTAGTTTGGTTTTACATTTGCCCAGATGTGGCACACCGTTTGATTACTGAGAATTGACTTTTAGGCATGCACTCCACGTGACTTTTAGGATCTTTTACGCAAACGAGTCCCAGGCATTAGTGCACCGGTTGCTCGTGATCCAGTTGAGCAGATTTGACGACCATTGCCTGAGAAACACTTTGTTTTATTCTTCAGTCAGCAAAAGTTGCAGTGACGATGAGGGTACTGGTAAATATATAGTTGCAATAGACCAATAGAGAGAGTCTCCTGTCTTGACATATCCCGGCTTTGGCCTTTTTGTTGCCAACAGCTTAGCATGCAGGTGTAGCATGGTGTTTCTTCGGGTCTGTAACATGCAGGGCTCGGACATTTGGTGCGTCGCGAGTGTGCGGAAAAGGCGTCCAAGTAAAAAGAAACAAATATAAAGACATAAGTAAGGACCCAGGGGTGTCGAACCTGCAAGCTTAGTGCAGCACGGCGCCGCCAGGACAGGCCACTTGATCCGGGTCCGGGCCACGCGATCCGTGCAGTTTGGCACCGGAACTCTTTGAACGCGCAGAGACGCAGACAACCAACACCCCGTTGCAGGGCATCGGCGAGGGCTCCAAACTGGGGGCACCTAAAAGCCTCGAGTTCATTGATTTTAAGATGATATGGTGTAGCTGTATGATGCTGTATGTCCTCAAGAAAGAGGAACAGACGGTCCATTTGTTCCTTTATCTTGAGTCTCAGGTGCCTCCCTAGCAGAGCCACAGATCTTCGGTTCACAATTGTGTTTATTTGGAGATGGGTCAAAACCTGGAGCCCTGGTTCACCATGTAGTGAAAGACCTACGCCAGGTAGGTCAACCGGTCGGTATCTTGCTGTCATGACCCACAGCCATCTCAGTGCTGAGCTTCTTTGTTTGGACGCTGAGCCGACCTCAAGCTGGGGTGGATGTCGGAATCATGTCGTGTAGGGATAGCAGCCCTTTAACATGCACATCCAGCGATGTGGTCGCTCGATTTGGGGGCCCTTCAAAAACCTGGAAGAGTTCAGCTGTGTTTTGTAGCCCAGAATATGACATGGTAGCCAGTCCTTCCATGATCAGTAAATGGGCATCCTTCACTAATTAGGGACCGCCAGGGGGGGACAAGCCAATTGGGTTTGTGCCATCCTTTCCGAACTAGCAGTTTCTTTCATCTTAATCCTGTGGCCAGTTGCTTTAGCCTCCTGCGGGGAAAACCGAAAAGCCTGCCGAAGTCCGAAGTCTACAAAGCTCATGGCATATCAAGTGCATTTCATGCCTGGCACTTCATTCAATCCTCATTTGGGCGAAAAATGCCGTGTGCTGTGCATCGGGGCATGCAAACTTAAGCTGCATAAGCCAGCGAAGCCGCAGCTTCACAAGGCTGGTCTAGGTCTTCGAAGGTGCATGCGCAAGCACAAACATCCCCTGCCTCAGAAGACTTCTGGGCAAACCAACATCTCTTAGGGTAGCATTGATGGAAAAGGATCCTTTGCCAATTTTTGTTTGGTTTCCTGGCTACCGGACAGTCCGCCGACTCCTTGCCATTTGGCTGCACATGAGCAGTCTAGAAAGGCTTCATCTTCCAAAACGTGTACAGTATTGAAACCTTGGCTTTCCATTGAAGTGGGTAGAAGAACGTATGTAACCTTCCTTCCACAACTGCTGTGTAGAGTTACTGTATGTGTTTTATGGTATGTTCGGTTGCATGGGCGCCACAGACATGTGCACACAACCTCCTTTTTGCTGTAGTGGGCAGCAGGACTGAAGCTATTCTGCTGATTGGCTAACCCGAGGACTGAAGGATCAGATCGAACAAGAACCAACAAGTCTATTTTTTGCCACCCTCAACTCTTGCCATTTCAAGATCCTCTGCATGAGGACGCTGAAATCCTGCCAAGGTCACTTGGGAATTGGGGGGAATCCGATTATTTAGTTGTTGGTGTGTGTGTTTTTGCCTAAGAACTCCATGTTCTAGCCTAGCCCCTCTTGAATGCTTTGTGAAGCTCCCTTCGTAGCTGCACTATCACACCTTGCTTTAAAAGCAAGGTGTGGATATTCGGCATTTAGAGGGGATGCTCGGATGAGGTCTTCCGCATTTGGAACTCAAGCTGGTCTTGTTGCAACTGCAACCAACCGTATTTTATACATACCCACAGTATCCCAGAGTGCACAGGGCATCCTGGCGGCTAAAGTTGCTCACATCGACATATGATGCACCACGCCCTTCTATTCTTGTTTGGCCCCCGCCTCCTGAAACTGGACTCCCAGCTACTAGTGATGCAAGCAAAATGACCCCTGTTCACAAGCCATCCATTTTCACCTGTTTCATTGCCTTCTCAACTTCGGGTTCCCAGGACCAAGCTCTAGCGTCGACACGTCCCCCGTTGGATCCACCGAGTCTCTTTTTTTTGCTGCTCCGACCTGCCCAACAAAGGTGTGCATATTTGTCATCTGTGAGTGGGAAGGGGTTGAAGGATGTGGCTGTGGCATGTAGCTTGCGGTGGTTTCTTTGTTTTTTCACAGGGGTCAAGAGCCAACGATTTGCCCTTTTTTGGATCGACCAATCGGCTGCGGGCGCGGCACGTTTCGCAGCAAGGGATTGTGGGATGAAACAAGATATTTGGATTCACGACAGTCGAATTGAGTTCCAGCAACTGGATGTGGCTCGAAAAGACCCTTTGAAAGGCACCCCTAGGTTCAAGCTCAAAAGATGCTGCAGGGGCCAAGTGGACTTGATTTTTGGGCCATACCCGGATCAGGGCCATCAGGGCATCCTGGAATGAAGGACGTTTGAATTTGGCAAACGCCATTGACGCCCATTGCCCCAGGAGACCCGCTGAAAAGTGCAAAGGCTACAGGGAAAGAGTAAGAAGTGGGCTATTGTTTAGTGCTATTATATCAACATATATCTATATTATCATGTTACATCTTTGTGTGTGTGTGTTGCATTGCAGTGTCAGGCCGGCACAGGCAGCAACAACAACAACAACAAGCTGATGTCCTCCAGTTGGCGCCAATTGGTAAGTCATTTCTTCCTTGACATCTCTGGGTTGGAAACGCATAAGTATGTTTCACCTGGTATAACCAGGGAACAATCCAGCAGGAGACGTGTCCAACCCCCATTCTTTCTTTGATTTCGTGTGTCCGCTGTGTCCACCGGGACCACCGGGTCGACTTGGTCAGACATCCGACCTACTGAGACTCCTGGGACAACTGGCGTTGACTTTCCGAGACCCCGCGGCCTCCGCCAGCCGTCCAGACCCCGCGTCCAAAAGGGGCGATGGTGCGATGGGTCCGCGATCGGCGATCTGCTGAGCAGTTGAAGGACGTCCGAGTTGAAGGGCTGAAGTTATTTGAAGTCAGAATGGAAGACCTCTCTTGTGGACTTAGGAGGACTTAGAGGACCATGAGTCTAGACAGAAGGAATAAAGCTGGGGTGTCTCTTTCCGAGCTGGTAGGTCCAAGGCTGGGAGGAGTCTCTTCCCGAGCCATTTTCAGATAAAGACTGTGTTGGCAAGCCTCGGACATGAGCTATAAGGCATGAAGCCATTGGTTCAAGGAAAGATGATCACAAGAACAAAAGACACATTTATTTTCTGCCCTTGACATCCCTTGACTGTGCTCCTGTCTCAATATGAACTGAGCAGTTCTCCCAACTGAAGATGTTGGAATTGATTGAAACGCACCAGTTGTTTTCCAGACTCCTACAATCAAAACGTGAACCTTCAGGACAGTTCTTCCATGGCCAAGCTTACTTCAGGATCAGTGAGGAGTGGTGCTAGTCATTCTCACTTGAGCAGCTTCAAAAACCTCTATGCTGAAAAGTGTGCAAACTGTAATCTCACATTCTTTCGCGAAAGCCAAAACGCAGGTCGCGAAAGGTTCGCGAAAGCCCCGCGAAAGAACCCCAGAAGAACAGCGTCGCGAAAGCTTTCGCGAAAGTCGATTTTCTTGTGCATGTCGTGTTGTTTGTGTGGGTGACCATATTTTTATGCAGGCAGCCGCAGCAGGCCAGCCAGCCAGCCAGCCAGCAGCAGCAGCAGCGCTGAAGAGCAAGTGTTTCAGGGGAAAATCGAAAAGCCCAGACGAATTTCCGCGAAACCCGCGCGAAAGCCTCACGAAAGAACCGCGAAAGTCGAAAATATCCGGGAAAGGTATCTGGCCCCAGCAAAAAGTTTCAGCAAGTTTTCCTCCTCTTCTGATGACAACAATAATACTTGAACGGTGCTGCTACAACTCCTTGTGCCAGGATGTTGCCGGAAAGAAATTTGTTCAGTTTTGACCACCCTAAGGACACATATATCGGATAACTTATATAGATCAATCACTTTATTGTACAATATCCCAATCGAATTTCCCAATTGAAAACGAATCGCCGCGAAAGCCGCC